CTCTCTTATACGTGAGTTTCTGTGGATGTTTCTCTAAAGTACCCAGACTAATACAGAAGTCCTGATGGTTCACTTTTTAAAAGACAACGCATTCGGCTGAAAGCCAAAAGGTCAGTGGTTCAAAACCACCAGCTGCTCTGCAGGAGGGGCAAGACAAGGCTTTCTACTCCTGTATTGAGCTACAGTCTCAGACACCCACAGGGGCAGTTCTACCCTGTCCCGTAGGGTTGGGTAAGCCTGAGAGAGTGCTGGAAGATGAACCCCCCCTGGGTTGGAACGGACTTAGCAAACACAGTGGGGGAGGGCTGGCGAGTGCACACGGATGTATCCCTGCACAGCAAAGGTGGTGAAAGACCGGGAACACTTCCTCCTGTTACCCACGGGGTCCTGCAGCCTCCAGCAGCGACATTGGGGTACATTCTTTTTAACAATAGAACTGTGCTGGCCGTCATTTACGACATCACTCTGTTTGCTCAGCTGTGAGCAGCGATGAACTGCTCACCAGTTTTCCCTTCATCTCCTAGGTTTTACAGGAAGACGAAGCTGGTTGGTTTCCAGGACCTGGAGTGTGTGCCCTGCGGGGACCCCCCACCTCCCTACGAGCCGCACTGTGAGTGAACTTTACCCACACGCCAGATGGGACTCTGGGCTGGCTGTGGGGTGTTTTGAGCTGGCAGACGAGTAGACGCTGTCCACGTGCGGGTGCAGAAACCTGGGGAGGGATGGGGGCCTCCGGGTCCGCAGACTACTCCGAAGGACTGCGTTCCAGGTCTTGCCTCTCACCCTCGAGATGGACAAGAATCAGGAAGTTCAGGGAAAGTGGAAGAAAATGATTAAGGAGTTTCCCTCAAATCATCACTTACATTTTGTTTTATTGACATGCAGTTCACATATCAGGAGCCTTGAGAAAGTCGTGGTTACGTGTTGGGCTGCACAGTGAAAGATCTAGGGTGTGAACCTCTCAGCAGCTCTACAGGGGGAAGACAAGGGTTTCTACAGATGGTCAGGGTTTCCCCCCTCGCTGGTGGGTTTCAACCCCAGTCTGCCTCTTGATTAGCAATGGAATTTATCACCATGACACCATGAGGCTAACTGAAAGGTCAGCAGTTCGAAACCACCCGTTGGTTCTCAGAAGAAAGATGAGACTTTTCTGAGACTGTAACTCAAGCCTCATCTTTCTTCTGAGAACCAACCGGTGGTTTCGAACTGCTGACCTTTCGGTAAGCCTCATAGCATGGTGAAGAATTCCATTGCTAACCAAGAGGCAGACTGGGGGTTGAAACCCACTAGCCAGGGGGAAAACCTGATAGTCTGCTACCTCAAAGACGGCAGCCAAGAACATCCGCTGTGTCCTGTAGGGTTGCTATGGGTTGCAGTGGACTTAGGGCACCTCTCAACTTTCCTAGTTGTCTTAACACACTAGAGACCTGCTGCCCAGCTCTCAGGAGGGCATTCCCTGACCTGTCAGGCACCGGCAGCCCCCTGCCCTCAGGTGAGCCCAGCTACCATTGTATACAGAATGTGGTTTGTTGTTAGGTGCCAGTAAAGTTGGTGCCAACTCATAGCAGCACAGCCCTCTTTTAAAACGGAACGAAGGCCGGCCCTGCGTCATCCTCACACTTGTTCTCATGTCTAAGCCCGGGTTGCAGCCACTGCGACAGTCCATCTCCTGGAGGGCCTTCCTTTCTTCCGCTGCCCCTCCGCTTGACCAAGCCCGATGTCCTTCTCCAGGGATTGGTCTCCTGACAACATGTCCAAAGTGTGAGGCCCAGTCGCACCACCCTCGCCTCTAAGGAGCACTCTGGCTGTACGTCCCCCAAGACGATCTGTCTGTCCTTCTGGCGGTCCGCGGCACTTTCCTTGCTCTTTGCCAGCACCAGAACTCAGATGGGTCGGTTCTTCTTGGACCAAACGTCCAATGCAGTTTAAGTCATTGCATTCATAAAGGGAATACTGAATCCCGGATATGCATTCAGGAACACATCCCCAAGGGCCACAGAGGGGTTTAACCAAGAAACTGATGGTTCTCAGGTTAACATTGGAACGAGCTAAGGCTCTTTCTTTAATTTACTGGATTTCAATGGAACGTAATCTAGTCTGAAGTCGGGGGCACTGGAATGTTTGCTTGTAGAGTTCTGGCTAAGGTTTTAAAGACAAACAAGCCTGTTGTTTCTAGAGGGTTCTGACTCACAGGGACCTGGTAGGACAGAGTCGAGTGACTGCCCCAGAGGGCTTCCAAGGTGTAAATCTTTACGAAAGCTGACGGCCTCCTCTTTTGTCTCCCGCAGAGCCACTGGTGGGTGTGAACCGCCGACTTTTGGGTTGGCAGCCGAGTCACTGCACCGCTTGGGTTTCATGACCAACATTCCAAACTCACTGCCATCAAGTTGTTGCCAACTCACAGCCATCTTATAAGACAGGGTAGAGCTGCCCCTGTGGGTTTCTGAGGCTGTACGTTTTTACGGAAGCAGAAAGCCTGTCTTTCTCCTGCAGAGCGGAAGCTGGTGGTCTCGAACCGCTGACCTTAGGGTTAGCAGCCCAGTGCATAATCCATGGTGCCACCAGGATTCCATAGGAGCTAAGAGTCACTCACTGCCATGAAGTTGATTCTGACTCAAAAAGACCCCACAGCAGAGGGAAGAAGAACTGCCCCTGTCAGTTTCTGAGACTGTAACTCTTGACAGTAAGAAAGTCTCATCTTTCTCCCACAGAGCAGCTGGTGGTTTCAAACTACTGACCTTGCAGCTCACAGCCCAACATGTTGCCACTCCATACCAGGGCTCCGAGCCACCATAAATTAGAGTTGGAGCATAGACTTTCACGTACTTTTGTAATATTTTATGCAGTGCTTAAGTTATCATTTTTCAATGCATGTTTTAAATATATATACATGCAAATGTATGTGTGTGTGTGTACTTATGAATTCATATATGAAACGAGAAAGCAAAGCAAAACCGATGATTCCCAGTGTCAGACATGCAGTCCACACAGTGAATAACCTTCCCGGCCCTGGGGTCTTTTGTGAACAGCAGTCCTATCTCTGCAAAGAAAAGCGTGCAGCTTCTGGCTCCGGGCTTGGGAATAATTCCAGCACAAAGCTGATCTCTTCAAAGGCGATCTTGAAGTCTTTGGGAGACGGTTTGCCAGGCGCCCTGTGTTTTCATTCCATCTCTACTTCGGGCTTTTTAACTCACCCACAAAGACTCCCTTCTTCAGTGGGTAGCCGCCCCACCCCCTGTCCCCCTTGGGTCCTTGTGCCAGTCAGACTCTTTGTGCTCCACAGTAACACCCTCCGCTCCCCTCCAGTCTTGGGGTATATACTTCCTGGCCTCACTCCGCAGCGAGCGAGGTCCGAACGATCCAGAATCCAGGAGTGGCCCTCCTCAGAATCCAGTTCCTCTCCCTCAGGAGCCAGGGGACTGTGGCCCCTCCTGCAGCCTGAACCCCGCCATCTGTGGGACTCTTTATATCTTCCCACGAAGGAGCCCTGGTGGTGGTAGTGGGTTACGCTTTGGGCTTCTCACGGCAAGGTCAGCAGTTCGGAACCACTACCTGAACCACGGGAGGAAGGCGAGGCTCTCTGCTTCTGTGAAGACAGGCATCGTGTTTGATAGAGTCGAGGGGCAGCGAAAAGGAGGAGTAGCTTCAACAGGATGGGTCCGCACTGTGGTGGCTGCCGTAATGGATCCAAGCCTAGGAACCATTGTGAGGATGGCGTGGCACAGGGCAGTGGTTCATTCTGTTGTGTGCCAGGTTGCCACGGGTCGGAACCCCGCGACCACCGCGGAGATTCACAGCCTGGGAAAGGCTTCGGGCAGTTAGTTCTGCTCTGTCCTGTGGGGTCTCTGGGTCGAAGTCCACGCGATGGCAGTGAGTTTGTTCTGTTCTGGTAGCTCTTCCGCGGAGTCCTGGGGAGAAGTAACACGCGATCCCCTGCTAACCACAAGATTGGAGGCTGGGATCCACCTAGAGGGGGCGCCTCGGAAGTAGGGCCTGGCAATGCACTTGGGGAAACCCTGGTCATTGAACCCCCCCCCCAAACA